CAAGAGCACAGTGCAGATTAAAGCACACCAGGAATCAAAGGGCCTCAGGTGGAAGGCAACACACAGGTGTCCCCTGTATGTATGTATGCGTGTGTGTGTGTGTGTGTGTGTGTGTGTGTGTGTGTGTGTGTGTGTGTGTGTGTGTGTTTGTGTGTTTGTGTGCATGCATAAGTGTTGTAGAAGAGAGAGCATGTTTATTTTTACCTCTTATCTCAACCGACACCTTCCTTGGCTCTTGCTCTCTTTGGTTTGTCTGTGCGATTCAGGACAGAGATGAAGGAAAATTTCCCACAGACAAGAGCTGCTCTCTGTGTGTGACCTTGTAGACATCCACAGAAGATGCAACGTACGAGCCTTTTGTAGTGTGCAGCATCCTGTCTTGCACAAAAAAGCACAACTGCAACTATAGAGACGGTAGTGTACTACTAGTGCTACTGCAGAGGTGGGAGACAAATTCAGACCTTGACTTAAAGCAGCAACGGTGAGCTTTCATTTGATTGTGGCAGCCCCTGTGGACAAAAACAGTAGTGTTTCCACTGCCTTGTATAATTGATTTCAATGGGAATACAACCAAATCTGACCTAGTGGCCAGCATTAAGAATAACTATATAGAAATATCCAATCATCTCACTGATGGTCTTGTTGATGTAGTTTATATAGAGGCATCAGTGTTAAACTGAGACTGTTTTATAGCCAGTTAAAACGTCCTTGTAGTACGTTTAAGTAAAAGAACCAATACAACAATATAAAAATACTTCATAAGTAGAGGTTTTATTTGCAAAATATACTTGGAAAGTACACAACATGCAGATTTAGTTTTTATACTTTAATATACAAATAATCTGCCTCTCAAGATCTCTTATTGGCTTCAGACATGGATATATTACACGTGTACACAATCAGAATAACTTTTTTAATATTATGAAACATTTGATGTGAAGATTCAAAACGTATATAGGATTGTGTATGTGTACGTTTTTGTTGTAACTGACAGCAAATATGGGTTTAAAATAGCATCATAACCAATACATAACAGCTACAGACCTTACTCAAAGTAACCTTTACTCAAGTCAAACCATGTCACCAGCCAACCTTTCTGACTGTGTAGGGGTCAAGGGTCACCTGGTAATGGGGAAAAAATTATTTTTTGACCAAATTGCTTGACACCATCTGGGCATCTTATTCATCAGTTTGGTTTGATTGTCATTTTGTATTGTATTTAAGCTAGTAACATTTCCTTAATGTCTAAGATAAGTCACAGTAAATACCTTCCATTTAGATTTAGTAAGAAATTTGGATTTCTTTATGCTCTTTACTTCCTTTCCTCTGACAAAAAGATGTCCTCCCATGACTAAAAATGCTCCAAACTTTGCAGAATGGGCTAATCTCATCGAAAATGATGCAAAACAGCTATCTTTTGCACAGTAAAGCCCCTCTTTGCAATGCACTCTTCCCCATTAGGGAGAGTCAGTAATGCCCAGCAGATTATTTAATAGCAAGACGAAATGGAGGCAAAAAAGAGTGCAAATACTGAGAGAAAAGAGTGTAAAGAGAGAGAGATAATATGACAGGCTGCTGATAAATACAGGAATGGAAAGTGAGATAAGGGAAAATAGGGGAAATCAGAATGTGTCATTAAACAACACACAGATAGATAGATAGATAGATAGATAGATAGATAGATAGATAGATAGATAGATAGATAGATAGATAGATAGATAGATAGATAGATAGATAGATAGATAGATAGATGGTGCAAGGATCCGTGGATAATGAGAGAGGAGAGGAGCCTCTTTAGACTATTGACATTTACTTTGTGTTTCACCTCGTAAGTGAAGTGTGCAAAAGTAGCATTAGGGAGAGGGAGAAATAGGGCGTACAAGTGCACACACCCACATGCAATCATACACACACACACACACACACACACACACACACACACACACACACACACACACACACACACACACACACACTCATACACACTCTCTGAAATGCTTCCCCCTATCCAGTGCAGAGTGTTAACCATGCAGACAGCCATTAGAGCCCCTCCCAGTGGAGAGCACCCGGCGTGGGCCACAGGGCTGAACCTCTCAGCCTCCCCTCTCTGCCGGCCATGGCTCTCCACACACCCACTCAGCACTCCACCACGGGGAGAAGAGTGTGTGAGCTCCATTTACCGCCCCAACAGCTAAAGTAGTATCATGCACAGCTAAAAGTGTCTCCGCCGCTCATACTCACACCAGGCAAGGAGCGGAATACATCAGCTTAACACACTTCTTTAAAAATTCTCCTCCGTCTTGGCTGTCTTCAAAGTACACATAGCCATGGGTAAACACACAGATACACACACACACACACACAACTTACACAAGCTGACAAGTGTCTGCTTCAGTACAGGTCGCCATAGCAACATGGTCAGCAGCGTTCTTGCTCTTTGGCTTCGTCGAGCATGACAGTGAGGCTAGTCAGTATTTGAAGTGCACTCACACGTGCACACATGTGCCTACCTCTTTACACACACACACATACAGACATTCACACAGCATGCATGTTCACTTCAAACACACCCTGTACACAAAAGGTGCATTCTCTCGCACATAAAGACATGTGTGCCAGTGTTTATTCATTTGTTGTGTTTCTGTTGGTCTCAGAGGTGATTCGGTGGCTGTAAATTCTCTTAACATAAGAGAGCAACAGCGCCAACATTACTAAATACTGCCATCTACAGCACAGACAATGCAAATGCATCAACAACCACAATGACCTCATAACATATAGTATGTGGACACCTGAACTTAACATCCATAATATGAGAATGCTGAACATGTCATTCCAAATTCCTGGGCATTATTGTGTCTCCACTCTTCTGGTTTCAGGCTCTCTACCAGATGTATTTCCAGCACCAAGGTTGCTGGGGTCTGGCTCAGAGTTCCAGTTTATCCCAGAGGTGCTGGATGGGATCGAGGCCATGGCTCTGTACAGGCCAGTCAGGTTCTTCCACCAGGAAAACCATTTCTTCAAGGATCTGACCTTCAGCACAGGAAGTGGGAACAGGACAGGACCAAACCCAAACTGCTGCCAAATGCTATTTTCTAGAATATCAGCTTTAAGACTTCCTCTCATTGGCACTGAGGTTCCTAACCCCAAACCATGATAAACAATTCCAGACCAAAAGTATGAGGAGAGTCCAAATACTTTTGGCCATATACTTTGTCATTGACATTCAAATGAATAAACCTACTGTGAATACTTATTCATACAAATACATAAAAAGTATAAGCTGTCCAAAGGGAATTCAGGACCACGGTCAGCGACACACAATCTCACTGTAATGAGCACAAACAGCCACTAGAGGGAGGTATAGGTTCATATCAGCAGCACTATGACCATTTCCTTGAACCACAGAACAACCGCAAAGTCCTTAGGTGCCTGCATAGAGTCGACAAACTAATGATAATACCATCTATATGACTTAAAGACAGGACTATCTCCCAGTGTCTTAAACCCAGATCAAAGTATAACTTGATTGAACTAAACAAGACGGTCATGTTTGTTTCCGTTAAATCGAGCTGCCCAATAAAGGAATGAATGTGTCTATTGTTTCAAATGCTCTCTAAACTCAGAAAAAAATCAGTCCGAAAAACAGAAAAAAATTAATTATTCAGAAAATCTGAAAAAAATTACTCAGAAAAACCAACCATAAAAATAAATTACTCTGAAAAACAAAACAAAAAAATACATTTTCAAGTGAATGCAATATGCTTCCGTAGGTCTAGACCATACTCCTTAGAAACTTATTTACCCAACAGTTCCCAGTTAACACAAAAAGGGAGGATGTTACCTGGAGAAAAGGAGAGAAATTTAGCATCCCACTGTTACTGTATCACAACTGAGCAAATAGACTGCAACTTTTATTATTTTGCTTTCGATGAAATGACATAAAATAGTGAAAAATACTCATTACAGACTACAGAATATTTGGTTATCTGTGAAATTGTTTCAGTTCTTCTTGAAAGCTTCAGTAACTCCAAATAAGTTGTTTTTTGTCATCCCAATTACTTTGGCTGTAATTATGTAATTTCCCCATTTCCCGATCTCTAGAGATGACTAGAGAGATAGACTATCTAGAGATACAACTTGTCTGATGGGTAAAACCATCTCCACATTGCTGCACAGGGCAACAGATCCTGGGGGTGCATGATAATTGAATGATGATTTTTGCAATTAAAAGACTCTCAAGCGGTTGTCTTTGATCTCAAGATAAATGTGTATGGATTTAAATGGTTCATGAAGCACCTGGAATTTGTGTCAGAGATCACGCTGAAGGAAAAGGCCTGATTCTCAAAATGAGAAAAAAAAAATGGAAAGAAAATCCATAAACGCATCTCGGAGAAGAGCTCTCAATGTGAGAATTCAACCAATTATTTATAAATAACATGAAGTGCTGCTTGTTGGAGGTAGATGATCTTCTCTTCAGCAGTGGAATTTCAAGAGGCAGACAGCTAACCTTAAGTGCCTTAAATGTTCTACTTTTCATACAGTGAGCCGACTTATCCCCAACTTATGGTACCCTGGTAGCTCACCTGGTAGTGCCATAGATACATGTGTACAGCATGTGGCCCATGTACAAAGGCTGGGTCCTTACTGTCTCTCTGCAGCTTCTCCGATTGAACAACGGCAAAAAAAGCTTTAAAAAGTTTCGGATCCTGAAAAAGCAAACAAAGCTGGGTCCCAAGGATCTTTGGTAAATGAGGCCAATGTGATGTTGTGTTTAACTGATATGAATTTTTAATGACAAAGACTCAACTACAAAAACTAAAAACACTGTTCATAATGCACCAGTAAGGAAAATGGCAAGACTTTGATTGTGGTAAACAAAGACACAACTAGAAAAAGAAAAAAATAAAGACATGATTTAGATTTTTTTTTTTTACTCTAGAAATTACTGGTGCTACTTTGAGGCAAAACTTTGTTTTTTATCAAGAAATGATCAGTGACACTTTTAAAAATATCTTTATTTGGCTGTTGCATGTTAACTTTGGTGCTCTGTGATTAACAGTCACAGGACTACAGTATCTAACTGACTGATGTGATGGCTAATTTGAGTCATGTATATTGTATTATATATGTATATTATAATAGTGGTTAGGAAGACACATGATATGACATAAGTTACAGTATTATGCTCAGAAATAAATTGCATAGATGTCATAGACAGTATATTCTCCCAGAAATGAAGTGAAAGTGATCAGTAAAACAAGAGACCAGTGTACCCTTCAGTCTGCTAACGGTATTGTCTGTTAGCAGCATGTTAACCTGTCAGCAGCAGCCCCCACTGCCACCGCACAGTTTAAGGCCAATGGACAGCTCACTTCATACTGCATTCTGAAACGGTTCTACATTATAAAAGGTGTCACCACAAAGGAGAACGTTTAGATAACTGTATATTGCAGATTATACAAAACCAGATATAATGAGCTGCATTTCTCTGAACAAACCATTTACACCGGCAGCAGTTTAGACAATTCAAAGGGCTTTGGTGGTTTTGTCTGTGAAACAGTTTGTCATGCAGTGTGTGTGTGTGTGTGTGTGTGTGTGTGTGAAAGACATTTCTCAAAACTAGATTTTCTCTCAATAACGTCATGTCTAATTTCACATGCCACTGTGCGTCTTTCAGGATATAAATGGCCAACGGATATTGATCTGCACACTCACTGCTGGGTTAAAATGCAGAAGTCATGATATAAATGATCTGCTGTTCACAGGGACTATAAATTCATGCTCTGACTTTGGTTAAAAAATGAAGACACCCTTGTGTTTTGGCTTAAGAGTGCAGCCAGAGAACAGCTCAGCTAACAGTGTTGCTCAGCTGTGTTGTAAGCTTCAGCTGCCTGCTCATATGACACACCATACTTTTTCTTTGGTGGTGACACTCTAATCTCCTTCCTCCAGGTTTAAGGGCAGCTTGCTGAGTGTTTGCCCCATGACGGGAACTACGACGACTATGTTCTGACAAGCAGGTCCCTGCATTGGACACGCAGCCACATCGGGTGCACCTATGCACATACGCTAGGGCTGCAACTAACGATTATTACCAATTATCAATCAATATATTGATTATTCCCTTGATTAACCGATCAGTTGTTTGGTCCATAAAATGGCAGTAAATTGTAAAATATGTTGCTCGCTGTTTCCCAAAGCCCAAGGTGACGTCCTCAATGTCCACTAACCAAAAGGTATTCAGTTTAGTGTCACAGAGGACTAAAGAAAACATTCACTTGTTTTTTCTTAAACATTAACGCTTAATCGATTGTCAACATTGTTGCCGATGAATTAATTAATAGTTTGATTAATTGACTGGTCCTTGCAGCTCTAACAAACACATTAATTGACGGCAGTAGAAGAGAAGACCCCAGCGTCTGTACAATGCAGATAAAGACATTAAAAAAAAAGGCTTTGAAAATATTGTGAGGTAGTAAATGCTTTCAATGTGTCTGTTACACCTTGAGGGTACAAACGAGATTGTTTTTGGTTAGAAAACACTGAATGTGAAGAAATATATTGATAACTATAGGCGAGCACCATGGTCAGCTGTAATCTGACTGGATGTGTCTTTTTGTTTATGTGTTAGCATGTTGCTCCAAGCCTCATTAACCTGGGTTAGCGTTTGTGATTTGTTAGCAGTATTGTAGCACCTGGGGAAAACACAAACATCTGAATAAACTGATATTATCAACTGATGGCAGCTCAGAAGTCCCATTTCATGACTTCTGATGAACGTGTGGGACTGTGCAGTCGCCACTAAAGTGACATCACTGTTGGCAAATCAGCAGGAAGCCGTCCGGAGGAGGTTACATGGCGAGCTCATGCGACAGAAGCGGTCACTTTGAAACGGCCTGCTCCTCCATGCCAGCCTGTGTCATGAGCTCCGCCACGTTCTTCTCAAGGTCATCAATGCGGGTTCCCATCGCGTCTAGTGCCAGAGTGAAGGATGTGCCAGAACCCGTAAACGTTGTACCAGTTATTGGACCAGCAACACAACAAAACACGACACAGCTGCCAATAATGATTAACCTTATATCAATGACTGACTACCACATTCATGGTTACATATGTGATTTAAAACATTAATACAGCAGCAAACAACTATCTGCTATGTACACATATAGTGGAGTCATGGTGTCCCTTTGCCTGTGTGGCTATCGCAGCCTCTCTGTGGTTTGTTTACAGAGCTGGTCTGCTCCGTGTGCAGCTGTAGAGCTGTAACCGCTGTTTATCCTATCTACGTCGCTGAATTAAGGATTTATTTTGACCAAACCAGAGTTTGTGACTGTAAAGCCTGACAAACGCCCCCCCCCCCCAGTGGCCGTGCATGTTACTGCAGGTGTGTGTTTGACAGGCAGGACCAGTCTTTGATTAGAAAGTGCTCTCAGGTGTGTTTTTAGCTCCCATAACCACAGACTGAACAGCGAACTTAATCCAAATATAACATAATGCAGCTAAGCTTTAAACGCCTGAAAGTGAAGTTAGTAGCTGTAGTTTGGGTGGAAACTGTAGATTAAAGGATATGTTTAGACTCCAGCTGTTCAGAGACTGCCTGGAATCTGCCTTGAAGTCGCTGCATCGTTTTCTCCATCTAAAAGGAGAAGAAAGCCGTCAGGAAAAGTATTTTATAAAACACACAGCTCACACCAGACAAACTTACCGCCTCTGTCATATCTGCAGCTGCTTTGCTGTCTGTTTTTGACATCGTCTCTTCAACAAAACCCAAATATTAACAGGAAGTGTAAACCTACAGCCATTCAGCCTGGCTGTGGGGGTTTGTTTGGTTCCTGGGTGTGACAACGACGATAAAAATCCCCTCTCCGCTTCCCCTCACACACGTTAGCTGTGTGACTCTCACATAACTTTGCGGTAAAGTGAGTCGACAGAGCGAAAACAATGGGACTTCCGCTTGCAGTGGTGGTCATTTCAAAATAAAGGTCACTTGGCGAACGCGCAAAAAAAGCATCTGGTTCAGTGAAGTTTTAAAGAGAGAACAAAAACTATATTATTAACTATATTCTGTGCTGAGGTAAGGGACAGCTGTTTTATTAAATATTTAATATATAATATATGATATTATTAAGTTATTTGATTAATATTCAGTCACAAATCTGTTATAGACAAAAGTCTAAAATTGTATCAACTCATAACATCACATTTAAGCTGATAAGTGTCAGTTCAAGAATGTGATTAGTTATATTTAGTAACTACAAAAAAAAGCTTTACTTGTAGGTTTTGGTGATATTGACTTTAATGTATTAGCACATTATTGTGAAGGTCATTTTGACTGATTTTCCGGTCTTGCGCTGACTCACTTTGACTAGCTTGACTTTACCATCAGCGGTGATATGTATGCATGGTGGCATAGGGGAAGAACATTGTTATTAACTCTTTGTAGACTGGTGTATGCTGTCAGGCAGCTCACTGTGTGCTCTGTGGGATGTAGATGAGAAGGAACAGTTCCCTCTCCCCAGACTGAACCTTTGGTTTTTATATAAGAGATTATCCTGGATCATAGTGACAGATGACTGATGACAGATGTGTGCTGTGAGGGTTACATAACTTTGATTAGGCCTTTCTAAATCTTCATAATCTGGATTTTGTGTCAGTGACAGTCTGCATTCACTCTAACTGCTGATCGTGTTAAATGTATACTGGGTAACAGAATTAGAAAAGGCCTGCAGGTCTGGACTGCAGCATTTCCAGAGGCGCTGGTGTGATGTGCTGAGCAATAAGTCAACTAAAATAAACCAGGTTGCATGAAATATTTAAGGAGGAGTAGCTTCATTGTCAGGGGAAAACCGACAGAGTTAGGCCCTTTTATGTAATGGTAGCTACTCTTCAATACAATGTTTATTGTCTGTAGCAGGGCCAGAATAACTCATAAGGGCCCCAAGGAGAACATTAGCTATTGAGCCACTTGAGGGTCTGGGGTTCCAGGGCAGAAACCCACAAGCATTCCCTCCAAGTCCAGTCAAGGACTATCATTGTGAAATCTATAAGTAAATGTTAAAATTTTGCACCACTTAAAGAGTGTTTTAGTCCATAACGAGATTTTTCAGTTCAGACATTTTGACTTGTCAAAGACGGAAAGGCAAAATACTATAGTGTTGGTTATAATATTAACACAGGTTCTGTTCTTTTCAAAGCCAGAATACACAATACCAGGACCCTGAAACTGAAAGCAGATAAATGGAATTCAGCCATCATTCATTATATCACACCTGTGCTTTTGTCCTCTTCCTGATATGTCAAAATGTCTTCCATTAAAATGTGCACTGCATTTAGAAGCTGACAGATTAGCTAGCCAACAAGAAGACGATATTCAATCATATCGAAGGTTATAGAATTATAATTAAAAGGACAAAGCTAAATAAATAACCACGAATATCCGTGCTCCTCCAAACTGCTGACACAGCCACGCTGCGAGTTCAGAAACCGACCTGTCCACAGCCACTCACACGATAGTGTTTGGAGCGAGTGGGTGAACTATCTTGACTGAGCCAACATCTTTGTCTCAACGCGTGACGTGTGACGCTTCAGGAAGTGTGGGCTCGTCCGTTGAATAGAAAAACACAGACTCTGGAGAAAGAAGAAAACTAGTGTAATACAGGGACCCTGCACAGGAAAAGGCTGCTCTGTGTCAAGTTTCCTTCCAGTTACAAGAGCTTCTTGTACTGTTTCAGAAACCTGGGCAGTTGTCCCTTCTGAGTTTAGTGCAGTCTTTCAAAACAACGCCAGCTAGCGTCAACAGAAGTGTTGAATCGGAGAAATGGGACGTATGGAGCAGATTAGCAGCTCCCGCCGACCCCCCCGCTGTCTGTGGTAAGCGTTGTTGTTCTGTCGGTACAGTAGCGGACACACTGATGTCCTCACTGTCTGCACTGTTGTTCTCAGCTGTTACCGAAACGTTAGACACCCCCCCCAGAATCGTCGTTTCTGATCCACTGCTCGGCTTGTGATGGCGTGGCACTTAGCTGCTTCTTTGTCTGTGTGACCCGTGTAAGGACTATGCATGAGAAACGCGGATGTTACTCTTTTTACACTGTCAAAGTCGGTACAAGGAACCAGCGTGGGGTAACCAGCTCATTATTGTCTCCGTTGAGCCGGTGAAAGCCAGCTGACATCACTCCACAACTTCTCCGACTGTCTGAGCAGCTGAAACATGGACGATGAGCTGTTTGACCAGATCGTGGCCGTGTTTAACAGCCTGGTTTCGTGGGTCGCTGCTGGTGCCATGGTGTTCGGTGGGCTGGTGCCCTACATCCCCCAGTACAGAGACATCCGCCGGACCCAGAATGCAGAGGGGTTCTCCACCTACGTGTGCCTGGTCCTCCTGGTGGCAAACATCCTGCGGATACTGTTCAGGTATCAAATCACCCCCATGTCTGTGCTCTCTGTTGTATGGTGCCAAAACTCCATTTAGAAAGCTGTTAGTTTAATACTCTGTAGCTTATAAGTCGAATGATATACCGCATGGAACAAAACTTGTGATCTGTCAATAATCAGTGGGGTATGTAATGGAATTCGGCTTAAAAGAGATAATCTTAGGAGCTTCTATTGCATTGTAACTTCAGATTTGTTTCTTCTCATTTGTTGCTGCCACCTACACAAGTTACCACTTAGACAAGTTCACTGAATAGCAGCTGCTGGTAGATTGGATGTATGCTGATTTAAATAGTGGTTGCTAATTATCATTAAATGGTCTTAAATTGATCTTAAAATGAAGAGTATTGCACCTGCCCTGACAAATAGCTTTCTAACAACAAACTGCTTTCTACATTTTTAAGTCACTACACTGAGCAGTTCTCTCAACTATTGTTTGTGCAGCTAATCTAATCTGGCAGGTACTTGGGTATATGAGAGAGACAGAAAAGACATACTGGGATCATCTTTGGAGGGGTAATCGAGTTGATTTCCTCTATGATGTCTTCCTGGAAGTTTAAAAAAAATGTTCAAGCTGCTGCAGCTAAGTACCATTGTGTTATTCAGGCTTTCAAGCCGATACCGATACAGTCATTTCACATTCGTGTTTTTTAAAAAGTAGGTCATAGCCTGTAGTTAATGCACAACTGAGGGGTAAGAAATGCTGAGATGTAGTGAGCAAAGATGGATCCATAATGTTACAAAGCTCTGACTGAACCAAATGTAACTGACATCACTATTGTTAACACAACACAAACAAAGAAAAGCTCTTCAAATGTTTATTTATGTTCATGTATTTTTTCTAGTAAAGTAAGTCAGAAAATGTCACAAACATACTTCGGCTTTAATAGAACAGAATAAGAATTAATATTAAATTATTATTATTATTATTGGCTGATAATTAATCAGCATTGTCACATTATTATAACACATAATAATATAGATTCCCCCTTTATCTGCCCCAATATATATTTTCCACCCCTAACTGTAAGAGAACACCCTAAACACTAAACACTCTTTTGTTTTTTCCGATCAGATTTGGCCGCTACTTCGAGACGCTGCTCCTGTGGCAGAGCATCATCATGATCGCCACCATGCTCATCATGCTGAACCTGTGCACCAACGTCCGCATGGCCACTGAACTGAACACCAAACGACGCTCCTTCATAGGTCAGAAAACCCTTCTGCAGATTAACCTCAGCTGCATCTACACCGTGTGAGAAACTGTGTGTGCTTCAAATGTTATGTGCACAAAAGAGCGAGTGGGAGTGAATGGTGAGCGAATGTGTGATAGCAATGTGGTTGTGTGCGAGAAGATAAAAATATCTGAGAGCAAGCAGGAGGGGATGTGTGAATGGAAGCGTATGAGAGTGTTTTGAGCATGGTGTTAACAGGTTTCCTTACCTCCCAGTGTGTGTGTGACCACAGTGAATGATCCAGTAAAACTTGCTACAACACCACAGCACAAATCTTGCAATTGATGATCAGAAGTGAACTTTACTATATTGATGATCGTTGCCAGTGCCATTGTTTAATGCAGGATTCTCAAAAACCCGCCTTCTGAAGGAAAATCACTGGCTTCAAACTGCACCTCTGTACTTGTAAATGAGCTGCTGTTCAATATGACCATATCCATCTGAAGCTTAAGCTTGACAGCATCAAATGTTTTCATGCGACAGAGGTTTTTTTTCTGCTATTACAATTTTAATTAGTACACAGATAGCTGACAGATGCTTAATTTATTGGCCCAATATTGATATTGATCATTGTACATCTTGTAATAGTAGAGATAGTAACTTTAGTAGGGAAAATATAGATTTAGAGATTTGGGCTGGTACTTTATTAATAACTGCCGACAGCAATAGAGTCAACTGAAACTGCGATGTGTCTGTTCCTGTGAACGGTGTCTTAAACAGCCCCATAAAGTTACTCAGTACCCCACACACTGACAGATCCTGTTTTTTTTATGTGCATCCTTTTGTACGCAAACAGACAGAGCAGCTCTCTTTGGTTAGTCGTGTGTTTATTTATGCAGTGCTGAAGTTTCCCGTACAGACAGACTGTATACTCCCGCTCCAGGATTGGATGCTCAGCTCTGCCTCCCGTCCCTGTGACAGTCTGACGGTAGGAGAGGGGAGGACACTTGAAGGATCGGTGTCAGATAACAAAAGTAAAGTGGAATCCAGTGAAGAGAGCAATAAAATACTGTAGTCGCCATTTAAAGCCCTCAGGCCAGTCAGCCATGTTGACAACCAGTGAGTCAGGAGAAAAATAATTTCCCACACAGCTTCACACATAGTTGAATTTACTATTAAGCAGCTGAGGTTCTTCCTTTATGTGTGCTGTTGTACGCATGCATTTGAGATTTTGAGATATGCATTTAATCCCTTTCTTGCCAATTAGAAGATTATTACCACTCTTGAATCTGTCTGGCAATATAGAGCTACAGCTAGCAGCCGGTTAGCTAGCCTGTCTCTCAGAAGGTAAACAAACTGCCCACCAGCCCCTCTAAAGCTCATTCATAATCCATTATCTCTGGATTGTTTCATCCAGACAAAACTGAAGTTTAAAAATGACAAGCTGTAGTCTTACAGGGAGTTATGTGCAGGACTGTTTCTTGGCCGTAAGCAGTAACTTATTGAAGTCAATGTGAGGTTGCCAGGCAACCAGTGGAAGAGTCCCACTATTGCTATTGCCTCAAATTTGGTTTCAAATCATTTTTCTTCATAACATTAAATAGTCATGACTTCAAGGTCCAGTGTGTAACATTTAGGAGGATCTGTTGGCAGAAATGGGACATAATATTCATAGGTATGTTTTCATTAGTGTATAATCACTTAAATATAGGAATCAGGTTTTTTGTCACCTTACAATGATCCTTTCATATATATATATATATATATATATATACATAGATAGGATTTCAGTTACTTCAGTCTGCAACTTCACCGCCAGCCATTAAACCCCGCACACTGGTCCTTTAATAAGCAGCAGTCAAGGTTAAAGTATTATTTCTGTATATTTAAGAATCGAACACTCAACTGAAGCCGGTCTGCTTCGTCAGGACTGTGTGGGTGTGCTTTGATTAACTGACAGTGACCCGGCCATCAAAAGCAAACAGCATGTATCACAGCTCAAAAATCAGTTTTGAGCTGCGATACATGATATTGCCATTTTCCAACAGAGCCCTGCCCACGTCAAAACCATTAAGAGGAGCACAGACAAAACCACAGATAAAGAAATCTCTCAACTAAAATATCAAAAACAGTTGGAACTTTGTGTCTTTATGTAGGACCTCATCACTCGTAGTAAGAAGCTGGTTGAGAGGATGTGTTTTCAGGGCCTTGTTAAGGTGCAAAGATACAACAACAAATTCCGTAATCAGTGATAGAACTTATCAGGGAATCAGTCTCTAATTACCTGAAATGTCTGACCAACTGTCACACAATATTGTAAAGTCATGCCCAAGTTCAGTAACCTGACACGTCACGGGTCACCTCTGGCTTTGCTGAAAAAAAAAAAAACATGAAGAAAACCAAGCTCTTTTTTCTTTCCCTTCCTTTCCCTGTTTTTTTTTTTTTCTCCCCCCTTATTTTTTTGTTCTCGTCTGTAGCGACAGACAGTAAGGACGAGGAGATCAGAATCCCTAAGAGGCTCTTTCTGGGTACGTACAGAACTTGCTGTGTCTGCCATGAAACATCAGTCGTAGTTCATCTGCCTCTCCATCTCTGTGTCTCGTGCATGATGACCCGGCGTGGCCCTCCCCTCCCACCCAGCCAACACTAACCGACGACTAACACCATCAAGCACATGTTTGGATGAAGCATGAGCACCATTTCACCCGCATGTAGTCCTGTTGTTGCTTTCATGGAACAGATTTACTGTCCGTCCATTGTGGCCACCGCTGTGATGCATGTTACACTTCACACCCTCACTCCAAATGAAGCATCAGCTTTCATTGAACAACCTGTGTGGGTGTGATTTTGCATGTGCTATTTGTGCTCATTTATTCTGACCTCACATAGACTAATTATTAGTAATTATCAGTGATTTCCAGTAGACTAACTTGCTGATAGTACAGTTTTAAATCCACTTACCGACATCTTGTAGTTCCAACTTAATGCTTTACGTTTTTGCAGTTTGAAGTGAATAATATTAACTCTCAAATCAAATGTGTTTTTGCGTGTGTTTAATGACCCTTAAACTGTTGCATGCTGGTCTTTATCCTGCCCTGAAATGTGAATGTAAAGCATCTTTTTAATGGCTGATTTATGCAAATTCAAATGCTAATGACTTTTAATTGATGTTGTCTTCTAACTGGCTTTTTTCAAATCGTTCTTTGAACTACGCTTGGTTTCAGCTCAATGCTCCTTTTATGATGAATAGGTTGCAGTTGCAGTTACTGTGTGTGTGTGTGTGTGTGTGTGTGTGTGTGTGTGTGTGTGTGTGTGTGTGTGTGTGTGTGTGTGTGTGTGTGTGCAGCAAGCTTGTCCAAAGGGTTAGTTCATTCATTTTTAACTTTTTTTAACATCTTGCATAATTTCAGAATGTGTGAGAAAATAATGACGTTTAAACATCAAATTAGCTGGTGCATAATTTAGGGATAATACTGGTGATATTCTGTATTTTAACAAATTCAAGAACAAAACCAACAATGATCCTACTACAAGTTGTTCCTGCGTATCCAAATCCTGATACCGGTATATCTTCTTCCTCTGCCACAGAGCTCCATTGTTGTCCAAGAACTGATAAAAACACATCAATGAGCCACACTGTTGCACTGAGTGACGTGCTCCTTCATTGCCATGAACACACACACACACTGTAGTTTATTTTGACTCAATCGCCCCACACCCCATCCTGCTGCTTTAAATACAAACCAGAGCACTAAAATGTTTATTAATCCGCAGTTGAAAATAGTCCCCAACAAATCTACTCTTGTTTATTGCTGAAAACTACAGCAGTGGCTGTTTTAGGAAATGAATTACTGATTTAAAAAAATGTGCTTGGGTGTGAGTGGCACAGCCGACGGGGGGGTAGGGAAATAGGAAAACACCTTGAGACAAACGCATTGTTGGTTTTGGTCTTTTTAATTAATTTGTTGACGGTAAGAAAAATATGGAATAACATCAAACTTAACCTTCTGCACAAAGGGCAGACATCTGCTTCTGTACTGCTCAGTGTGGGTTCACGCTGTCCGTTCTCTCAAATGTTGTGTTTCGTGATGTCATAACATGTGCTCTCCATCACAGGCCCTTTTCACAGCAGACATTTTGACTTGTCATTGTGGGAAAAGCCCAGGTGTTAATAGTACAATGCCTCCACCTGGATCAAGTGTCCAATAGGAGCCAAAACGCACAATACCAGGACCCTGAAACTGAAGCAGCTAAATGGAATTCAGCCATCATCATTTTTATTATCCACACCTGTGCTTTTCCCACTGTGATATGTAAAAATGCATATTGGGTGCGGCTTGATGCAGCTTAACTACTGCTGTTTTACAAAAGCTAGACATCACATGACCTAGAGGTCATCCAGATCATGTGATGTAATTTGATGTAACATCAAACTATGATATTACTTAAGGCAGTGAATCAGTCTAACCTGAAATTCTTAAGCAGTGTCCCAACACCCAAGCAGGTTTTAATTATGTAGGAAAAGTGACAAAATAAGTGATTAAAGCCCCTGCAAGGAACCTTCCTTTTGCTTTGATTCTGGTGGTGGCAGTAGTGTTACCACTGCCTAAAAAAATTCTATTGTCCCACAATGCAGTGCACAAAGGAAAAGGTAGGCACTACTCACAGCTGCAAAAATAATGAAACATTGCAATGGACAGTGGTTGATGCATGTGTTGTATTATATCAAGATTGTATAAAACTAAAAATATATAGATTTCCTTTATTCTAACAGTCAGTACATAGTGCACACTGTTTACAATAAGTATGCTACACTGTGGAATTGGGACACAGCCATTGTTGTTCCTGGTATGGACACTAGATGGCAGTGGGAAACAATATTTGAATGCTGTGAAAAAGCACATGGCTCAGTTTGTTGTAAGATATATCAAATTCTCCTCCTGGGACTGACTAATGCACACTAGATGGCTTGGTGTTGAAGTGCTAGTTTGTACCCTTTGTCGGATGTTTTCCATCATTTTAATAAAAGCAGAAGCAGTTTTCCCCAGCAGTATGGCTTTCTGTGGTTGGGCCTGTCTCTTCCTGACATCTGGCATCAGCTGTTTTTCCCCACATGTTGAAGCCAGCTTTTCACTGCCAGAGACTCCAGGCTAGATGAATGGTCATTGATCGGTGAACTCTGCCAAGCATCATTAGAACTGACAGAAAGCCATGTTCTTTGATCACAGCTTTGCTGGCGTGCGCCTGCTCATTGATCTGCTAGTGGAGGTATCAAACGTAAGCATGTTGTAGTCTACTGCTGACAGAAGTATGAAAACACCCAGGTAGAAGCAGGGAGGGAGAAGTGAAAGAGCAGAGCTGTGGATCGGTTAGACACGCAGCATCACTTAGAGGCCTGGAGCAGCCGTGGTCAGTGTCAGGCCAAAGCAAATTATAAAGCTAACAGTATAACATATAGCACCAAGCTGGTGTCAGTGTGAAGCCGTCAGGTGGAACAGCTTCACACTGTAGCTCTCTGCAGTGACTCACCATAGCGTTTAGTCAGCAGGACAAATTGTCAACCTGCACATTTTTCTGATTGTTCTGTTTGTTCCCTTTTTATCCTCAAAGCCTTCATCATAGCACTTTTTTTTTCTCTCATAGCCGCACAGCGTCATTATCACACCAGGCACTTCCATCAAACAGCTGGACATTTGTACCCAGAAAGACTAGAACTTCCTAGGATGCCCAAATAAGGCAGTATTATAATAGATGTGACTGGCTGTGAACATTATATGCCGAGACGTGTAATTTGCTGAGATAGCGTCATAGAACTGAGAGCATACAAAGGTTCAGTGAACACCTGTGGTGCCTCAACCACAATCACACAACTGGCCACATCTGTGCCATAGAGTATGTCCTTTGTAGGCTGTGTAGTTTTACAGGGAGAAATCCTGGTGAAATAGCAGCTCAGTGTGATTTATATGGAAGACTGCCTTGCGCAATCCTTTAAGGAGATTAAAAGATAAGATCATTTGGCCGTGTCAGAATCCGAAATGCTGGCGATCACTCAGGTGGAGGTAAAAGAGTTTGGAAAGAAAAAGTAGGATGAAATATTAGTCGAAAAAGTTCTTATGACGGTGGGGAAAGTTTCACTTTGTCTAATATATGCCTTAGTCAAACTTCACTGTTTGGTTATTTTGAAGACCCGAAAGAGGAAACCCAGATTGGATTTTTCAAAGTCTCTGGCAGCGGATAAATGAATTTGTGTCAGCAAGCGAGCCATCAAACAGGGCTCCGCTCCATGATTGAAAATCCTGTATGCAAACTTTAGGGCCTCTGTGGTTTTCAGACTCTGGGGAAGCTTGCCTGTTTGTTCCTGAGAGGCAGCAGCTTTGTCTGTCACAATCGCATTCTCTTTCCGCTCAGTTTAATCTAAAAATTAGTTTTTGATATTTTAACTCTTTGAAGGGAAATCTGGGAAGAGATACAGAGGAAAGCATTGTGATTGGAGGAAAAAGAAAAGATCAGATTTTGTGAAATCTTAAAAAAAGAAACGTTTGCAGTACTTTTAGGTTTTGCAACCTTCTGTCGCCCAAGTTCATGTGCTTGAAAATGATACCTCGTCTCTTTGCGTGTGGATGGTGTGCTCGTCTGGGACCTCTGTTGACCTCGGTAGTAGCAGATCCTCCTACATAGCCAGTCTTTTTAGACATGAATGTAGCTAAACATTAGCGTTCTGTTCTGTTGCCTAAAGATAAAATACAATTCTCTAAAACGTTGCAAGTAGTGTTTTTTCCCCCCCTCTCATTAAAGCTTTTTCCTCCATGTCCTTTCCTGAGCTCCGGAGCACCACTGAATGACCCTGAAGATATAAAAATCACAATTTAAACTTTTGGACATATTAACTGGTTGATTGGATAGCATACCACTTTATATTACCCTTATTATCTTTCCATTACCCATTATCTTTCCCACAAAAAGTAAAATCCCTGCAGTGGCTGCGGTTCGCTTAAAATCGAATCAGGAAGAAGAATTGTATCAAATGTGCAGTTATCTTGATTATGTCACGATGATTGAGTGGTCCCACAGCACAGAGATGCTGGCCTAACAATGTTACAGAGGTACATGGCAATACAACAGATTTCCATTTCTTTCTAATGTTCAGTTATGGCTCATTGCTCATTCTGGCCCCTTTGGGGTCTGTACATGTAGCTTCATTGGCTTTGTGAGCTTTCGAATGAATCACCTCATCCTGTAGGTGCAGTTATCCGCTCCTTAAGGGCAGGTCGAGGCCTAACTTTTTAGCCGCAGTCTTTTTCTAGAAGCATGTGGTCTAGGTGGCAGCGTGGAAAGGTTGCTAGGTTTTGGTTTGGCTGTGAAAGCCTATTAGTCATTGTGAAATAGCTCCCTGTCTTAAATTCAGAAAACGAAGCTTGTGGAAATCTGAGGTTCAATTTCCCAGGCTGTTCTAACTGTCTTTCATAATAATGTCCCTGCTTCTCCCACGGGTGCTTTTTTTGAGCGACAGCGAGTCATTATTTCAAGTACCCCCACAGACTTTTCCAGGGCCTAACTGTAACTGTCAGGGAACAGTTGGTAAACAAGCGATTGAAAACTCCAACTCTGACCCGTGTCTTCCTACACACGTACCGCAACTCTGTGGGACTTCAAACCGAGCTGTGCACAAGACGCTTGGCCACCACAGGGAGCCCATTGTGTGCACCTCCAGTCTGTTCCCACACAGTGCTACAGCGGCTGCCACATAGCACAGGGATTGAAGAGGAGGAGGAGAATGCCCCGGGGTACACAAGTGGCACAGCAAGAGAGGTGTATGGCAGGGGATGGCCGAGGTACAGTACCGTGATAAACATCCCTTTAGTGGTCAGTGTGAAATGTTGTGACACACCGATCTGCCTACAGGACACTGTTTTGACATTTGCTGCTGCTCAGAACTGAAATCAGATTTGTGTGTATCTTCTGCACATACAGGATTAAGAGATGATGACACTGCAGCACTGGTACGAAGGAGTGTGGTTACTAAAACAGGGACTGCACAGATAAAGGAAAAGCATAAGTCATAATCACAGCCTTTTTTTTTGCTAGAGCCAAAGGTGTTCGAAACGAAGGCGTTCTGTTCTTCCCCCTCCCTGACCACCAAATTGAAAACCAAATTAAGCAAGATGGAAAAAATATTTTTAATTCCACCACAGAGGAAATGTTCTGCATTATCTCTCCTCCTCCGCTCCCCACTCACTGACAACCGAGACTGGGGGAAAAAGTTTAGGAAAAGTTCTTATTAGTTTTTTCTCTTAAGAACTGAAAAGGGAAACTTGCAGATAGAGCTGTGCAGGCAACAGCCCCAGTAGACCGTTTTCACAGCAGCCATTTTGAAATGAAATTGTAGGGTAAACAGGTGTTACCGGGGATACTAATTAAGGATCCATTACATTCAGGTCAAACAGAGTCAGGGTGCTGCTGTTGTGCTTGTTAGCTCACTGGAGAGGCTCTGCTACTCTAAATGGAACAAAACCCTAATTAATATCATTTGTGACACCTGGGTTTACCCTACTGAAATTACCTACAGTTCCAAAATGAATGAAGAACAACTTTGAGGAACTGGCTGTTAAGACTTAATTACTACCAGTACATCTCAACGGGAAAATTATACTTTACTCTACACATCATAAAAGATGTATGTGGTAAACATACAGCTCAGGTTAGCATATTGCTAATTTGAGCTGTGTATTTTAGCCACTTGGGGGCAGAAGAAACAAGCTAACAGACGCACAGTGGCGTTGTTATGGCTAACGTGTTAGCAAACAGGTGCTTATTTTTAAACATTAGCATTCATTCTGGGTCGTGTTTTGGCCACCTGACAAGTCCGGCTCTGTTTTGGGGGCTTTTTTAGGGGCTTTTACACTTTTGAGTAAATGTATTAAAAGCTCATTTGTTAACAGGTGTGACACTGCTCACTAGCTAGCTAACAGTGTGCGATATTGTAGACGTTTCCACGGCTCCTGCCAGCTACTGCTGTACGTGTGTGTCTGTTATACTTCCCAAACTGGAGCCCAGTGGAATCATCACTACGAGCCTTTCATTACATATATCATATGTTCAGTTGTGTGTTTCATGTGAAGCTGTGCAGGCCTTAAGCAGCCAGTTTGCTGTTGAACGCTGCTCTATGCCCCTGATTGCTTCCCTGTGTGTTGGGCTGTTATCAGGCAGCGCCAGCCTGGTGCTAGTTGGCCCAGATTCACAGTCCTCTGGCTCTGCTGCCAGCAGGGCTCCACAGCCACACCACACATCTGCAGCCTCAACACCTACAGAATAACACACTGCTATACAGTACACATAACAGCCCTCAAAGGATATTCTTAGTGTTGATTATAGTCAGAACAGAAATACATACCTTGTTATACCTTTTTTTAAAAAAGCTTTGCTTGGCTTCAAAACTACATTGTGCTGCTGTCCTACATAGTTGTAAGGGTTTGCCGTGGTAAATCTTGGTGTATGGAGTGTGTGGTGGGCTGACAGAAGGCTGTGACCTGGTTTGAATTGCTCTGTGAGTTTTATTTGGTTACTTTTATGGGATTTGTCTGTCAGAACAGAACAATTGGATTGGTTCAATAACACTCAATATTGCAAAGCCAGGTTACCTTGCACGCATGCGTGCCTGCCATGTGTATTCATGTAGAAATGCCATCTAAATGTCAGAATCGGTCACCATTAATTCTCTAATGAAGCAATATTTCATTAAATTATAAACTCAAATGTCATAAACGCTTGTATTCTTTCACTTCTGATTTTATCACGTCTCGAAAAACAGGAGGGTTTTTCAGTCCAGCGTGGTATTTAGTGGTGAAGTTATTCCAAACAATCCTTTTTTTCTGTTTTTCGTTTTTGCTTTGTCTACTGTATAGGCCCGTCTCTGGAGGCATATGCAGACCTATACAGAAGACCTCTTTAGAGGGCCTAGATGTGCCTCTTGGATAAAGAGAGCCTCATTTAAACGTGATTAAACGAATCGGCTCTATTGCATTTGAGGCTTGTAGAAATCCTGCAGAAGCGTCTTACGCTCGCAGCCATGATTAGATTTTCATGATAAACTCTTTCAATGTCCTCTGCTCACACATTAAATCAGCAGCTACGTGCATGCTTTTTATTTTCCCTTTTCTACAGCTTCTACAATAAACATATGTTGACTGTGTAGAGGAAATTAGAGGGATGTCTTACATTGTTTATTGTACCTGTTCCCCTCATCAGCCATAGTTAAAGTAGTACCTGAGGCGATCAAATCTTCGCAGCCTTGAGAGTATTGTCACAGTATGATTAGTATTGGCTCCGTTTCTTATTACAGGAAGCCACTGTTGTTGTGCTCAGAATCTTTATCTAATCATTTCCTTGGAGAAAGAGCGCACACGAGAGGTGTTGGGGCATAAAAACAGGGTTTAAATCGTTCATCAGTGTCCAGATTCCCACCCAGCCCATTACTGTTGTGTGGAAAATACTATTTCACTCCTCCTCCTTCAAGACCCTGAAGTTAAAGGCTTCTGCTTTTGCAAGAATCTGAATGAGAACGAGTCCAAATCGTGCGCCGTTCAGACGGCCTATTTGTGGCAGTGACATATATTTTTTTTTTCTACGAGAAGGGGATTGTGGGAGTCCTGTGAAAATTTGCAGCTCAAGTGTGAAGTCACTTAAAAAAATGTTCACAATAATGGAGTTTTTGCTCTCTTTTATTAACTAGATCTACAGTTAAAAAGTAGATAGTAGATTAGTAGATATTATTTCCTCCAGTGCTAGAAAACAGGGAGCAAGGAGAGTGGGGAAATTCGATTGGACGCAAGTACGAAAGAGAAAGTGTCTCACAGCTGACTATCTATCTGTCCTGTAATTTAAACCACAGTTTAAGTCCTATGAAAGTACAGCGGCCAGACTTTTAACCAGAACCAGCCGTGAATCTGTGGACTGTTTTAAGCCCAAAACCCTCCTCTACAGGCAAGCCTTTTTATAGATCTCCTTGTTTGTTTTATCTTCCTTATGTTTGTATTTACATGCTTCCTATGTTTGTGTGATTGGGTATGGTTATACCCATATGTACATTTGTTGTTTGTAAAGCACCCTAAAGATCTCTGTCAAAAAGGTGCTATATAAACAAAGCTTTACTTACTCACTTACTTACTTACAAGCGTTTCATACACTATTAAACCTTTTCCTCTCTATCCTCACCTGCCATATCAAATAAAGGCATATTAAAGCCAAAAGGTAGTTTTCCCCCTCACTTTTGAATGAAACTCTTCCTGTAATGTGTCTAAAAAAGTCCTGTCTTTTCTCAACCAGAAACAACATTACTGTTGCGTGTCTCTTTATTTTTTTATTTTTGCTTCCGGATCAGTGCACATCAAGCAATGTTTCTCTAACTGTGCCAGTACTGGCATGCTGCTTTAGAACTGTTCTCTCTTGTAGTGGCTACTTGTTAAAATATATTCATTTCTGTGGACTTATTTGTGGTTTCCCTTTGTTTTACACCTTTTAGACTTTGACTGGAACCACTTCTGGTCGTGGAGTCACTTCGTTGACTACCTGCAGTGCGTGCTGGCCTTCACGCTGGTGGCAGCCTATATAACCTACCTCTTCCTGGACTCTGCGGTGTTCGTGGAGTCCCTGGGTTTCCTGGCTGTCTTCACAGAAGCAATGCTGGGCACACCACAGCTCCACTGCAACTATCAGAACAAGTCTACAGAGGGCATGAGGTAGGGATTCAATACTGAACATCCTAGCTTGATATGTGTGTATATGTATGCACTGAGAATTCAGGGTTTTGGGGTTTCTTTTCCGTTTTTGGGCATTTTGCTTTTAGGGGCCACAATAGAGACAAAAATGAACTGTGATGGAAACAGAGAGGGGTAATGGAACGGGAGGGCAATGCAAGACTAATCAGTGCTAGGAACTGATAACTGAACTATGAGCAGGACACACACTTGCTGTATGGAAATCAGATGTTTTCAGGAGTTTTGTGTGGAGCGAATGCTCTGCAAGTAGTAAGTAAGGAGTATTGAAGAAAAAACCTCACTATTAAGGTTTACAAAAATTGCAAACATCTATGAATTAAGAAAAAGCCACAGAACCAGAACCACAAGAACATGACAAACTGATATATCAGAGACAACCACCACCTTCTCTTTCTGAGTCGATTTGAAGTGCGACTCTGAGTTTAGAATCCTGATACGGGAACAGCCCTATCATGTCGTGGTGAACTTATTTATTCGATGATGGTCAGCACACTCCTTGAACACGTCGCCTTTCTTGTGCTAGTTAACGGCATTGCTGCTTAATATCTTCTTCAAACCTTAGCGGAGACGTTGTTGATTTCAGTTGAATAATAGTCAAATCTAAATAAAGTGTAGTGAAAAACTTTGACACTTATGAAATGTTGTGTATTCTGCACCATTTCATATGGTGTTCTGATTGGTTGGTTTGTAGACGTGGGTCATAGCAGCAGTCACATTGTGAGAATTGGACATGTCTCGCATTGTAAACACACTTTGAATCCTGAAAGGTTTTTTACTGTCACTCTCTCTTTCTCCTCAACTATTTAGGCATTAAGTATAATTTACAGTCAGATGGCAATCAAAATAAAGCTTGTCGCATCTTTGATTAATGATAATGTCTTTATCCTGATGAGTACTGTTTTATTTATGAGTGCCACTTCCATTACAGGCAGCCGTGAGGGTGTGTTGTCCTGTAGCGACACACTCATCTGAGTAATGGCTCCTGATTATATTGTCTCACATATAATCATTTACACTGACACGTGCTTATTATTAAGTATTTCTGGCACCTGTCGAGCAGGAAGTAAGGACAGGGCTCCTGACAACTACTATTATGCCAACATGACAATTGGCCCTCTCAAGTTTCTCTGAAAATCAATATGGTAATGAGGTATTCTGTCTTGCGGTATCTATTGATAATGTATCACTGGCATATTAATGCTAATTTGCATCGAGTCTCAAGCTGTAATTAGAAGCTTTGACGTAAAATAGATTTTTGAAAGCGATTTCAAAATCAATTCTACTAGCTTTCTGAGTGCTAACCAAGCCCTGGAAACTGCTGCTATTTAAAATAGTTCACACAACCTGAATGGTATAAGCACTCAGCGGAAAGCAATGAGACGTAAAAGGATTTGCAAAGAACCCAACAGCATCGCTTGATTAAAAGCAGACAGGGAAAAAGAAATAAGATAAAGAGAAACGTTAAATGTAATTGAAAAGATAAAACTGATAATGTTTGTATTAAAAGAGTTGGAGATTGTCCACAGAACACACAGGCCTGATAAAAAGCTTTCTCACAGTGTGTGTCCTGCCTCAGAGCTGTGCGCCCCCCCTCCCCTCTGCTGGTTGGCTTTCTGCAGCTGACAGATAACAGAATTCCAGCAGGGCTGCCTGTCCACTTAACCGGCCATGACAGCGCTCACGCTGGGTTTTGCCATACCCTCTCTGTCCCATGCCTTATTTAATTCTTTTTTTGCATGCACTTCCTGCCACCCTCATTGTCCACCAAGCTGTCTTACATTATGTGCCTTCTTCACTTGTGGATTTCATGATTAATTTTGTAATTGGCTAGTGCATCTGACTTTTTGGTGGTACCGACTTTCCATGATATCTTCAGTTGTTTTCTATGGTTTCCCAGAATGCATTTCAACACACCGCCAGAAAGTGGTTGTAAACAGGCTTTCAGTCAGGGTGGACATAAATGTATCCATAAATAAAGATAGTAGCATGGGAGAATGTCTATGATCACAGCTGTACCCTATACTCAAAAAGGTCTCACATTTCCTGTGGTTGTAATGCATTCTAGGCTATTTGTGGTACAACAGGGGCATAAATTGGTGTGTATGCCACATTCCCCTGATGCATTTCTTCCTGTATGACTGTAGAAAAAGTACACTCTGTTTTCTGAAGTCCTGACAACAAAACCTAAGACCTTTCCATTGATGTTTTGGAAAGAGCACAACAACTTTCTGCTGTGAAACCCAGCAGCAGGAAGTTGCATGGCACCACTTTTGACCGATTACCCATCGGGAGAAAATGCACCACCAAACAGTAGAATGGATTGAGAAATGCAAGGCACATTGTCCAATAACGATTCATAATCATTATTTTTGTGTGGATTATGTTCTAAAGGTTCAGTTTCAATGGGAAAGACTCGATGCAAAGAGCCAAACTGACTTGCTTTAATTGCAACTCCCTTGATTCACCCTCCCCTACTACGGTGGCCGTTTGTCCTTTCTGGGCTACTGTAGAAACATGGCGGTTCAACACTGCGGCCTCCGTTGAAGGCGACCCACGGTGTCTGTTGATATAAAATAAACAGAAACACAACAATTCTTATTTTTAAGTGATTATACATAGGGATGGGAATAGAGAACCGGTTCCAAATTGTCTGATCCATCGGAATCGTATGCGTCCGACTTTATCAATCCTTTTGTCTATGCCAGTTGAGTATTACAGTGACGAGAAAAACTTATGTGTCTATGCTCCTAGAAACTTGAAACAGGAACGGGTCATGGTGGAGAGGAAGGAACAGTCAAAAGCGTGGCCTCATTTCACACCGACAATATGCTGAAACATTTTACATTATAATAACATTAGCGCCATGCAGGCAAGCTGCGTTTTTCTTTGACTAAGAAAACCTAAATGAAAACAAACAGTAGACAAATATTAGGGATGGAAATTGAGAACTGGTTCCAAATTAAACTGCAGTTAGTCACATGCATGCTTTTTTTCTACTATTGTTTCTACACTGTGTTCACACACTTCTTTTTTTCCACACTTTGCAAAATGTACAAATTGAATAGGAATCAATAATAATAATAATTGTAATTAAACACTTTATTTACACTTTTTCGTGCTGTACAAATGCGAGAATAAAAACCAAGCAAGGCAGATAAAATGTCACATAAAATAATAATAATAAAAAGAAACATGAGAACTGAAAAAATAAAAAAATGGAATGAGTAAGAATAAAAATATATCAGATATTCCCAAAAGCTTGCATGAAGAGAAAAGTTTAAAGAAGAGATTTAAAAGAACCAAGAGAGATGTAGTGTGTCTGAGTTCACTAGGCATTGAGCTCCAAAGTGTGGGGGCTCTAATGGAAAAAGCCAGATCGCCTTTTGTCACACAGCGTGACCTGGGGTTAACCAGCGGGGCTGAAGTCGCGGATCTCAAGGGTCGTGGGGGGGGCACAGACGAGGATAATAAATCAGTATGTGGGAGCAAGTCGGTTTAGTTAACTAAGGAATCAACAAAGAATTGGACCAATAAGCAGAATCAATAATGGCCTTGGTATCAGTGCGATCAATTCCCATCCCTATAATACCCTGGCAGTATGCAATGTAAAGTTTCATGTCAGTTTCTTTGGTCTCACCCTGCAACATGTGCCCGCCATCAGCTGGTGCAAATAAAGCTCCCCAAGAAGGCAGAGGACATTGTCATTTCCAGTTCTGTTTATTGTTTGTGTCCTCTCCTCCCTCAGTGCAAAACCTGTTGAGTCTGGCAGGCTGTTGCTAGGTTACTTTACCTCAGCGCTCTGTTCAAGGTTTGTGTGTGTGTGTGTGTGTGTGTGTGCGTGTGCGTGTGCGTGTGCGTGTGCGTGTGCGTGTGCAGGAAGCAAAATCCAATAAAGTAAGGATGTTTTGAAAGCTGTGCAATTTTTTAAAGCAAAATAATTTGCTTTTAAAAGATCTTAACCCCCGAACTTAGTTTCAGAGTTGAGAAACAGGTTTGTTTTTGTGTTGAGGGTATGTATAAGCGTGCAGAAGAGTTCGGGAAGTCATGAATTTGTGTCTGCGTGAACGAATAAGCGCACGCATGCATTTTGCAGAGACAAAAACAAACAGACAGGAGAAGCAAAGCAGAGTGCCCTTTTGTGTAAGTGTGTGGAACAAAAAAAATAATCAGATCCCATGCAGCACATCCGTGTGGAAAAACCTCACGCTGACTTCCTCCTCGTTAATGGCCCAGCCAGTGTGCCCCCACTCGCATACTGCATAACATTTGTAACAAGTGTCAGACTACTTACAGTACTTGCAATACTCAGGCACACAGTAGGAAGCTTCACCACCTTATTCACCCTCCCAAGTAGGCAGGGGACTGAGTCAGAGCAGGGTAAAAGTTGCCAGTAGAATGAATCATATTGAATGTCCTCAGTGTGTATACACAGCAATACTGCACCATGACATACTGTCAGACAGGCAGTAGCAGAGCAGTTTTTAATAATGAAATATGGATAGGGTTTTGGGGGGGGGGGGGTGATGAGTCCTGCGTCGGAGGTGTTTGTCCCATGAGGACGCAGCTGAAGGCATTTGGTATTTGTCTGATGTTAATTCCCCCCCAGGTTCTCTGTTAACCTCACTGATGCTGTCTGACAGCCCTAACTGCTCTGTTATCGTAACGAGTCCTTAGAGGTTTGCATTAATGCCACCCATACATTGTGTATGTGATGGCAGCACTATTCTCTGTTCCATCCCACTCTCTATTTTCCTACCCTCAGCGTCTTTTTTTTTCTCTCCTGTTTAACTTGTGTGGATTCTTTAGTAGCATTTCTAGCCAATGAGTGTCAATTCAGTTTCAGTTCAATTGGTGCTAGCACATATTATCCGCTAAGGTTAACTCTGTGAATTGTTTGCAAAAGCAGGCTCTTTAAATATGAAATTTCTTAGCTGCATACATTGTATCATGCTAAAAAGACT